GGTGTTAACACCGATGGAAAGGGCATTGTGAGAGATGTAAATGTCCGCACCTTTCCAAACTACCCAGTCCCATCGAAAGAGGCTAATAAACAACCCGCCAGGGGAAAAGTTATGGGAACCAACAAGAAACTCTCAACTAAAATCCCTGCCACAGTACTTCACAGAGACGTTCGGCGCATAGTGGTTCTGCTTCCCATTGAAGAGCAAAATGCGGGAAAATAGTACAGTACAACAAACTCATCAGCAGTGAATCATTTTCTGTAACTTCAGTAGAAAAAGTGTTGTGACCTCCTTGGGTTCAGGAACCAGGAGCTCAAGTGGGAGGTGTTTTGGCAGAGCCAGAGAAATCTAAATCTGGCTCCAGTCCAGCAGATGGAGACAGGGAGCCTAGGGTCTGTGCTTCCACTGAGGAGGTGGCTCAGAGGAAGAGTGTGCCACTCCTAGTTAAGGAGCTTAATGCAACACACCTGTGAAGGCACACTCTCAGCAGAGAAGCAAACAATTCACTGTGGGAGAGGAGAAAGACTCAAGGATTCAACCAAAGACGCTGCTGGTGATATATTTTGTAAATGTATTTTTCTGTTGGAACCATGTTTTATTAAGATGAATTATTATTTCTAGTTTATGAAGTTAAGCTAAAACATAAGATGCTGGATTATAATTTACTTTGTTGAGATGCAATTATTTTTGTTTAAGTGTTAAGTTTAATTATAACTTGAGATGAAGTGAATGAAAGTATGTTTTGTGTTTAAGGTTTTCAACCTGAATGAAGCATCAGAAGGCTATCAAGAGGCCAAATGAAGCAGAAATAATTCTGCAATAACTCAAAATAAAGAGGAATGATGCAAATCTGAGTTGTCCCATGTGTCCTTTTGGAGGGAATCGGGCCGTTTTCAAGTTTAGGCAGGAGTCAATCATGAAGACAAGATCATAACTTGACAGGCAGTACTATGCATGACTAAAAATGATATGTACACGTTGATTAATACCTACTTAACTTGTACTTGGGACAGGACTGCAAAGTACAGATGGGATATTCCTGTGCACCAACATTAGTTATCAGTGTTCTCTATTCTCAATTTAAAAGAATAAACTGACAATAAAGAAGTCTTATAACATATTTTGCTTGTGTCTTTGGAAGGCCTTCAGTGTTTGTTTTATTATTTATCAACTAGTTACATTGTCATTTTGTAAATTAAGAAAATAAAATCCAAAGAATGAAACAATTATAATTGCAATGTAAATAGTTTGCACCCCATTTTTTTACTTTTAAATTAATCTTTATGGTGTGGCGTTACCAATTCTTAAAGCTCCCATGTCATGCTTTTCCGGTTATTACCCGTCCCCTTGTGTGTTATGAAGGTTTTTATGCATGTAAACGGTGTGCAGAGTCAAAACCCTCAAAGTACACCCTGTAGCGAGTAAAACTCTAACACAGAAAATACCTCCCCAAAACGCCTCGTTGGAGATACGTCACTGGCCATTTGAGTCTTCCATTTCGTTCCGGGTACGGCATGATGTCAAGCGGTACCCGGAACGAAATGGACCAATCCCGAAGAGCCGTTACGTTACGTCCGCGGAGCCGTTACGTTAAGCCCCCGCTGATTGGTCCAAATTGACCAATCCACGGACTTCCTCACACACACATCTGTGTGTAGGGAGCAGGCAGCTCAGCTGATTTCTCCTCCCTGGCTGCAGGCTGATAACAGACAGTTGGGATCGCGGCAAAATTCTCTCTGCAGACCCATTCTCACAGCGTTTATCAACCTTTTTCTTACTCAATATCAAGCCACACTTATTGTTTTTACTTCGGATGTGAGTTTGTGTGTGCTCAGGATGAGTTTGGCTGTGTTTCGCTATGTATCCTAAACAAGGAAGCAACACCTCCACAGAGCTCAGCGCGATTCACAACGTCCCGACCAATCAGAGCACACTGTGCTCACAGGGAGGGTGGGGGCTGGAGCTTTTGGAGCTACAACGAGCCGTTAAAGGCAAATAGTGAAATTCAGTGAATACAAGTAGTTTACAGAGATGCTGTATGAGAAACCAATGTGAGTTTGGAAAAATGCACAGTATAAATCTATTTTAGTATACCTCAACAATGGAATTATGATCAGTGGAAATGGCCATGACACCTCTCCTTTAAAATAATACAAGGATTGGATGTTCATCAAAGGATTTTCAGGGCAATCGATTTGCAGCCAATCAGAGACGAGACTTCTGCTGCACTTACCCATCATGCTTTGAGGCACTGATACTACAGAGACTAGTGATGGGAATTATGGCTCTTTGAAGGGAGCCGGATCTTATGGCTCCGTTCCTTTCAAAGAGCCGTTCAAAAGAGCCGTTCAAAAGAGCCGTTTTTTGAAGGTTACTAGGTTTATTTGCAAAATAATCACCAGGATAATGATTGACTGTATTGCCAGACCTAATGTCAATAATCGGCATTGTAAACATGACACAAGGTGGCGCCATATCCATGTCATCATGTCAGTGAATGTACTTTGAATTTACCCTCTGTATGTGTTAAGTAAATAAAGTTGCCTTGCCTTGAATGAAATTCATGCAACTCTTAATATTAGATACTGTGTTTTTAAGTGGCGATGGAGATTATTTGTTGATCCTGCTTTAAAGGATATTTTGCCTTTACAAATGGTGCGCTTTATCACTGCCTGGGTTTTGGTTGAAGTGAATCCAAATGCTGCTGCGTTTTCGCGTTTGGCTCATTTTCCATCCGAAAAACACGTTGTCTACCTGTCCTGTTCCACTTGGTATGACTTCTCTCTCTCGTGTATTCCGTTAACACCCACCCCATTTCACTCCTCGTGCTGAAACCATGGATGTATAATAAGAAGGCTGAAACCTACCAAACAGAGTAGGGGCGGATCTTCACAGAATACGTTTGGGGAACAAAATCAAGCTATTTAAAAGGCGAGTGGATTTTGGCAGGCAGTGAGTGCGGACCAACGATTGAACGATAACAAGAACGGCTCTCACCAAGTACGACTCGGTTCCCCTCGTTCGTACCAAAGAGCCGTTCAAAAGAATCGGCTCGTTCGCGACCGACACATCACTAACAGAGACCACTCAGTTAGCACGCAGGAGGTGAAGAGCACTGCACGTGGAGAGGAATCAGCACTTTCAGAGGTAACGGTAAAAACTATTTATCAACGGATTCAAAAACACTCAAGACTTAAAACATTGCAAACGTCAAAGTCCTAGCTATGGTATACATTTTGTTTAACAACCGAAAACAAAGTAATGTTAGCTAACGTTACCATAGCTAGGTAGCAGCTAGCTAGCTACGGTAGCAGCTAGCTACCATGCTTTGAAATTGAGCTGTTCTATGCCGTCATTATGCAGGGTGTTACTTTTTAATTTTGTAATGGTGCTCGAGTGGCTGAGCTGATGTGCAGTGAATGTTTCAGAGTTACTTTTTCGCAATATTATTTAATAAATAGTTTAGCTAGCTGACTAGCATACATTGTCACTAACTCCTAATGTTAGCTCAATCCTTAGTTTTATAATCGATTTTTTTGTGGGCATAATGTTACACACAATGCACATTATCCATATCTTTTAAATCCTATGTTAAGGCTATAATCAGAGGTGGGAGAAGTTCTCTGATCTTGTACTTGAATAAGAGTTGAAGTACTCCGGTCTTATACTTGAAGTGGCTGAGTTCCCGTTGGAATATTTTTTGCCGGTCAACATGTCCGTTAAAGTTGAAATCTTCCGGACAAAATGAGAAAAGTGCCGGTCAAAGGTCTTATTTATTGAGCTTTTAAACAAATTGATATGATTCAATATTAAACAAACTAATTCTAGTAGATTAACTACATTATTCAAAAGTGTACAGTAATTTATAACACGGGAATAATAAACGGAGCGCTCTCTCTCCCTCTCCTGACAGCCCGTCAGTATCATGCAGCTCGCGGATCCAGTAATGAGCAACCCAGTAAAACTAAACATATCTATAACTAGTTTAGGTAGTTTGAGAGGTAATTAAAATAGCTACGTGATATTCTAGCACAACTGATGCGGTATTGTGCTAAAGGGAAATTATTTTGACCAGACATTTTGACCGGAGAGATTTCGATTTGCCGGTCTTCAGCATATTTTACCGGTCATAACGGGAACTCTGAGTGGTATTACTGTACCTAAAGCTGCTGCTGTGTTATTTAAGTTATTTTTGCTTAAGCATGTGCAAACTTGTGTCTCTTTTTTTCCCTCAGCTGTTACTCGTAGCTGCAGTACCAGTAATTGCAACCTACCAAGAATAAACAGCAGCCAGAGATCCTAAAGTAAGATTTCTTGCCATATTACAAGTGTTATAAATTCTCAATGTCCTATATGGTATTGCTATGCAAACAGTGAAAGGATATGGAAATCATCAAGAGGTGGCTAAAATATGTTTTTCTGCTGACCCTGTCCAGAGCAGTACATTGCTTTGCTTCCAGGTGGTTGCTCCTGTCTGCATCTCCAAGCTCGGGGCATCCCGGCCATCAGTGGCGGACTGGCCATCGGGACGTTCGGGACGAATCCCGATGGGCCGGTCGGGCCACTCGGCCCACTTCGGTACCGGCAGGGGCGGACTGACCATCTGTAGAATCACCGAACGGCCGGGTCGGTTTGCTGTTTTTAAACGGCATCATTGAAGTTAAGCTGACAGGCGACAGAGGTCCACCGTTTCCCAGTCCGCCCCTGCCGGCCATCATCTACTCTAGGTAATACACTGACTATGGATAAGTACCTTTATAAAACCCCACTTTAAACACCCAAACTATCCCTTTTGATGTGACATTTTCTACACTGTTAACATTAGGAAACACTTAAGAAAGAAAAGAAAGCTGCAGGAGCTGATCATTCCTAAAATACAATTGGCCATGTGATCACCAGTAAAATAAAAAAAACAATCTGCACTAAATATTTTTTGGATTTATAAATGTTTTGTAACTTTTTCCTGTTGTGTACCTTAAGGGAGTTCTCCCCTGACAGCTGGACAGTACATGATAGCAGAGGACCATCGTCAGTGACAGTGTCCTGAATGTTGTTGACGCCCTGATGCTGATGTTTGCAGCATATTACTGCCTCAACATCAGTTATCGCTCAGAACTGGGAGCTACCCTGGAGTTCTTGCAGAGGTAAGACTTGAATTGTAATTAAGTAATTCCATCTTAAACCACAGAGTAGAGGATTGTGCACATTTCTGACACACGATAAGTGCTCCTGACAATACAAGATAATCGAGATAAAAAGATTATTGTGCTGCATTCTGTTTCGCATTATGCTCTCGTTTTGTCTTGGGTTGTAAATTCAGCGTACCCCTTTCCTTTGCAGTGGTGTGCTTTGGCTCCTCCCTAAAAGCTCAAACTCACTCTTAGCCAATCGGTGGTATGTTTACTTCAGCTCAATGAAAATGACGGAAAGAGGGCCCTTTGTCGACAACAAAAGAAAACCTGGTATTATTGCAGTGAACAAACACATTAGAACTTCTTTCGGTTAACTACGATGCTTTTACACCGCTCACTCTGCTACTGACACGCACCTCATCTGCCCCAGTTACACACAAACCTCTCAAGATGGGACTCGTAGCTACCCAAATCTTCAAGTGACCGCTTGCTCCTGTTTACAGACCTGCTGCGATACTGTCCAGTGTGATAGTGATGCCAAGTGACGACTTTATATAACAAAATCTATTCAAACCAATGCTTTAAATGTACAGATATGATCATAGCAGTTAATGAAAAGTACATTTAAGAGTAGCATTGCCCTTTGACTTCAAGCTGTATAACTGTAAAGACAATTAATGGCTGTATCATCCACAGAATGTGTAATTAAACACTAAATGTAAGTGTACTTCTGTCTTAACAGGTGCCTATTCAAGATCAATCCGGACAATGGGACTAGAGTGGAGAGGAAGGAATACAAACAAAAACAGCACTCGATAAAGATAAAGGTGCATTCATTAATTACAAACGTCGCTGACTGAATGGAGAGAGTTGAAACACACACATGGTCATGTACACACGCACGCACATAACTGGTAGATTTCTTTAGTGTTTATAATTGTTATCTTTTGAACAAAATGTTGGCTATTGTTAAATGTTGAAATGTTTCATTGCCGGTCTATTCTGCTTTATTATTACTTAAAATATATTTTATTTATTGTTTTTATTTTTGTGATGTATATTATTTTCAATAATATATCGTATATATTTGTGATTTTTTTTCTACAAAACATCGGACAGTTAATGTAAACTTGGGCTTTTGCAAAGTAAAATGACATGTTTACTTTGTGTTTTACATGTAAATGGTCTTAGATTTCATGAAGTTTGCTGACGACACGACCGTCATCGGCCAGATCACCGACGGCGACGAGACGGCGTACAGAGAGGTCGAAAACCTGACATCTTGGTGCCAGGATAACAACCTCCATCTCAACGTCAGCAAAACCAAGGAGCTGATTGTGGACTACAGGAAGCAGCAGGGAGAGGGACACGCCCCCATCGCCATCAATGGGACTACGGTGGAGAGAGTCAAAAGCTTCAGGTTCCTCGGGGTCCACATCACTGAGGACCTGACATGGACTCATCACTGAAGACCTGACTCATCACTAAGGACCTGACATGGACTCATCACTAAGGACCTGACTCATCACTGAGGACCTGACATGGACTCATCACACTAACACCATCACCAAAACAGCGGCTCTTTAAAAACAAAATTGTATTAGTCAATTTATTGAACATGTTAGAAACAAAACAAACAATAATATTTATCGTATTTTAGCTTAAAAACGTTTCTGGTCCTACCCCCCCCCCCCCCCCCCCCAGCGTACATTGTTCATGAAAATACAAGTTTGGGTCATCGTCATCATCGTCAACTTCACAGGTCCTGCTCGGAACCATTCAGGATTTGGTTTCTAAATAAGAGTTTTAGTTTAGATAAAGTTGCACAGTATTTCAGCTCATCATTACAGTTATTCCACAGATGAACACCTTCTGTTGTGATGCAATGAAGTTTGGAATTTGTTCGAATGGGTGGTTTTAAAAAAAATGCAGTTTCCTCTCAACATGTGTATGTTTTCTCTCCGTGTGAAAAGTCCCTGGACATTATGATGTAATTGTTCTGCAGGCTGAGGAAGTTCAACATGGATACTCTGCATCTTCTACAGGTGCACCATAGAGAGTATCCTGACTGGCTGCATCACGGCCTGGTACGGCAGTGCAATCATATTCCGTTTACTTGCATATAGACTCTACTTGCACTATTTCTATTCTGTTTTATTTGTTCTATGTTCTATATATATGTTGCACTGTTGGAGGAGCCTGTGACTTCAGTTGTTCATTGCCATGTCTACACTGAAGCTAATGTACAAATGACAATAAAGCCTTGAATCTTGAATTTATGGTATTTTTTCAAATGACAACTAATCTTCTTTCTTTCAGCTTTTTTTGATCATTTAAAAAAATATTTATTCAGTTTTTCTAGAGGTGTATAACTCTATTCTAACAATTAATATATGTTAAAAGAAAAAGATTTCCTGTAAAATTACAGTTTTTTTTGGGCAAAAAATGTGATCTCCGTATTTTATTTTACAGTTTTTTTCCTTTTTTTAACGGACATTTCTGGCGCCCCCGTCGCCAGAAAATTTCCGTTTTTTTACAATTTTTTTTTTTACAGTGTAGGTACCTTAGTCTGTGCTTACTTTAACTGCTTTACATCCCTTTGTATTGGAAAGGATTTAACTGAGGTTTCATTATCTCCAGATTCTGTCAACATAAAACACAACGGAGGAAGAAGTATTTATATTCTTTACCTGAGTTTTAACACCAAGACTCTACAAGTAAAAGTGGAAAACCTTAAAAAGTAAAGCATTGAAGTTGCCGTTGAGTCTGTGCTCATTTTAGCTCCTCTACTTCTGGATTGTGTAAATGATGTATCTGAGGTTCTGGGTTCATTATCTCCTGGTTCTGTCTGCAGGCAGAGAGGCGACCCTGAAGGACTCGGACCTGGAAGAGTTCAAGAAGCAGGCGAGCTGCCTCGGGTTCTCCGGAGAACCACAGTTCATCTACAACCCCAAGAACGGTGCTTTAAAATCACCTGATTAAACTATCTAAGGAATATATATTTATATAATATATAACTGATTTATGTTTCTCTATCTGCAGGTTTCTGTACTGAAGAGGAGTCCATTAAGATGTAGTTCTGAAGACAGGAACAATCATGAAGGAAATAAAAAAGTGAAAACTGTATTCTTTTTCTGTACAAAAATCAGCTGGACCATTGTCATGCTCATCAAGATTTATAACGTTTTGATCCTTAAACCCTTTAGATAATGCTGAAAACATGTGAAGTCGATCGGACAAGGTCTCTTTTCTACTTAGCAACAGTCTGTTCTACTTAGCAACAGTCTGTTCTCCTTAGCAACAGTCTGTTCTCCTTAGCAACGGTCTGTTCTCCTTAGCAACTGTCTGTTCTCCTTAGCAACTGTCTGTTCTCCAACTCTCTGTTCTCCTTAGCAACAGTGTATTTTCCTTAGCAACAGTCTGTTAGCGAGAATTAACAACCTCTGGAATGTCCAAACTGACCAATCAGAATAAAGTATTCAACCAAGCCGTTTAATAAGTCTTATTATTAAATCGTGGGACTCTGTGTTAATATGTTATTATGGTAGTGCTTATGAGTAGAGTTTTTAAAGGGTTACTCTACAATATTTGAGCAGATTATCGTTAAAGGCAGCATCAGAATCTGTCGTTTGTAAAATATGAGTTAAAATGTGAATGTTGACATTTTCAGCAGTATGGCAGTAGGAGTCAGTCTCTGTTTAACTATCAGTGAATCATTCATGGACAAACAGGGTCAAATATCACAAGCATGACTGTGCAGAAAAATGTTAATACTGGGAAACCAATGAGCTGCTATAAAAGGCTGAGCAGCTGAGGCTCAGTCGTAGGTTGCTTTCCCGTTAGCTTCGTTAGCATCGTTAGCATCTTTAGCATGGTTAGCATCATGTGTCTCCGAGGTCTCCTGCTGGTATCCGGGCTGTTTCTGAGCAGCTGGGCTCTGACTCCTGAAGAATGCCAGCCCTTGGTGACGCCTCTCTCTCTGGCTGACCCCTCCATGGTAAGACCCCCCTCTGGTTCCTTTATTCACCGTTAGTCACTGTAAGAAGAAGTACTCAGAACCTTAACTTAAGTAAAAGTACAAATAATATGGTCTTAAAGTACTCCACTAAAAGTAAAAGTGCAAAAGTATGAGTATCAACATATACTTCACGTACATTATTTCAGAATAATATAAAGTGCAGAATAATTTCACTTATATATCTTAACAGTAATATTATTAAGGTTATTTTATTATCCGCCTTTAATACCGCAATTTTAGTTTTGTAGTTTTCTCAATGTGGACCAACTTTATATACTTTAAATACTGTATAGTTTATTAGTACAGTACTGCATTATACTATATCAGCATATTTGTATATGTACAGTAGAAGTATAAAGTAGCATTAAATTGAAATACTCAAGTAAAGTACAAAACAGCACTTAAGTACAAAATGTACTTGCAGTGGTGTGTTACTTTCCACCTGTTACACTACAGGTGAACAGGGTTAAACACTAATGACACTTCAGTGGATTCTAAGGACAATTATTATTTGTATTTCAAGTTTTCCGAAATGTTTTTTAAAATGTTCAATGTGCAAAACTGTGAATAAAACTAAAACGGAGCTCAGATTTTATTTCTGCTTTTTAAACTGTAGTATGTGCTCATGTGTTTCATTGTGTTTAGGCTACTGCCTGAATGTGCTGAATGCAGGTTGATGAAATATTCCCATAAATGTCTTTGTATTGCATTTTATATTCAGGTAAAGTGATCAGGTAAAATTACCTTTATATTGTGACACTTTTACAGATAACTACAGGTTATTAACTAAAGTTACCCTCCCAACCCTGGTAATAATTAAAACACTTATGCACAATACAAAATAAAATAAATATTTCTCACAACACAAGCAGCCCAACAAGAAGTCCACATGTATGGACAAATTATTTGGAACATCTATTGCAGAGGATCAGGGCCAGATGTTTTTCAGATTTCTGACTTTTTTTTAGAATTCCAGCTTTTTTTCAGACTTCCAACTTTTTCGATACATTTTGAGTTTGAACCAAACAAAAAAATGCACTGTTGGTCAAACCTCAAAAAGGTTCCCATGTGGCCCTTATCCTCTCTTTTTTGGGGCAGGGTTAATTGTGTGTGTGTGTGTGTGTGTGTGTGTGTGTGTGTGTGTGTGTGTGTGTGTGTGTGTGTGTGTGTGTGTGTGTGTGTGTGTGTGTGTGTGTGTAGATGTACAACAGGTCCCACCTCCTGGTGGGTTACTCAGATAATGCAGCGTTTGGCGCCATCCTGAAGCACATGGAGAGCTCCTGGTGGAACATCAGCCCGTCTCCGTCCGACCCCAAGGGGATCGTTTTAGCCCACGAGGACAAACTGTGAGCATCTGCACTCATGCAAAATATAATAACAAATACCAGGAAAAACCAAGATCATTTACTATATTTCTTATCATTTTAATTATATAGCATAATAGTTCTCTATCTGTGTTTTTCATTTTCTTTTTACTTTTATGTATGCACCAAGTCAAATTCCTCATATGTGTCAACCTACCTGGTGATAAACCTGAATCTGATTCTGATTCTGCAGAACCCAATTCAATAGCTCTGCAGATGATACTCTGATTAATCAGTGAATCCTCTCCTGATTTGAAATACATCTCAGTTCTCGTGCTCTGAACACATCAAGTTTCTTCATATTGACATTCAGACCTTTATATATACAGTCTATGATTTAGACCCAGCGATAAACTCACCTCCTCCTCTTTCTCCTCAGGAATGGTACCTGCATGTCAACAACTGCCAACATAACTATTGAGGGCGACACAGCCTCAGCGTCAGGTGAGTTTCACAATCTGACATTTCTTTTAGGCGACTGAAACTGCCAGAAGGAAAGACAAAGGTCCACAGTGCTCACATTTATAATACAAGTTAACTCGAGACCATAATAAATAAATGTAAAAAGTACAGTGTGATTTTAAGTCCAGTTATCCAAAGAGAAGCGATGGAGCATTGTGAGCCTGTTAGCATGCTGACGGATCATTCAAATTCAAAGATTCAAAGGTTTTATTGTCATATGCACATAGCTATGAGAGAAGTGGAGAAATGGCAATGAAATTCTTCTGACCTGAGCTCCTTGCTGAGAATCTTGAATCTTTGATGTATCCCAGGTACAGCCTCAGTTTCCTGCATAGCTCTGTTGCGGCTTTCACACCAGCGCTTTTCCCTTTCTAGCTCCTAGCGAGAGCTTTTCTGGTTCAGCTCCGGTTTTCCTTTTCAGCTCCCGCTCTGTTCACACTGCCCAGAGCTGCCGCTGCTGCGTCATGACGTCACAGTTTACGTCGCTGATTATCTCCCACAACAACAACGGGCCGGGGACTGCGTCGGGTCGATGATCGTGTTGCTTTTAATCATACGAAGCCAGATTAAATTAAATAACGACTTCTCCAACCTTATACTTTTCTCCAGAGTGCCGTGGTTCATTGTTTATTAATGTGTTTCAGCGGCATTTACCGACCGCTGCAGTGCTGGCTGCTCTTCCACGGGAGTTTATTCTCCCGTTAGCTCCGGGTTAGCTCACACGGCTCTAAAGTATTCACTGTCTGACTGTCACACAAGCAGCTGATACATATCCCCAGTTCCCCTTAAGTGAATGTGTGTCAGTCTGAATTGACGCTGTTTGGCATCACAACGCTGTTATGAAAGTTTCTCTGGTATAACATGGGTGATGTTAGCATAGCAACCGAAGCTAAACTGACTACTTGCTAAGCCGTTTTCTACAGGCACATTTTACCGGCGTATTTTTCATTATGATTCTACTTGTGATAGTCGGACATGACAACCTGTACAGCCCATGTATCTCCACAATGATCAATAACAGCGAACGGATGGTCAAAGTAAGGTTTCCTGCACGCCTCGACGTAAGAGACGTAAGCGACGCCGCGTCATAGCTCTGAAGCTCTTGCCTCTGGACCGACAATTTTTTGGAGCTGGAAGTGAACCGCATTCCGGAGCTATGACGCGCCGCCGCTGCGGTGTGAACAGGAAAAACCGGCGCTTTTCAGGCTCTAGCTCCGAGCAGGAGCTGGAAAAGCGCCGGTGTGAAAGGGGCATGTGTCTCACCTGTGTAATCAGGTATTCTCCTGTCTGTTTTCAGTGGGGAACGTCTTCTCCTCCACCTTCCACCTGCTGCCGGGCTGTGATGGATGTCTGGTCCTCAGCATGAACACCACGGCCAAACACATGGACACCGTGGTCAAGCTGCTGAAGATCAACATCACGGTGACAGCGGAGGAGGTCAACCTGCGCTGCGTCTATCTGTTAGGTAGGAAGCATGACAGGAAATAATAATGTATTATTACTTAACCTCTACCTAACCCTTGTCGTGGATCCGATGTAACACTCACAACATTAAAGAATAAGACGAAGAGAAATCAATAAAACACAGACACAGAGATGGTTGAAGTCAAATATTATATTGCTGTACAGCACCATAAGAGACACATTACCTTGCATCAAAGCAGTCTATAGTGTAATGTCCCTTAGACCAAGAGAATCTTACAGCTTATACACCTGATAGATAGATAGATAGATAGATAGATAGATAGATAGATAGATAGATAGATAGATAGATAGATAGATAGATGGATAGATGGATAGATGGATTACTCTAGACTTAAAAGTACTTAATCATGCTTGTTTTAAAAACTGAATAAAAGTAGAAGTCATGCTGAAATCCTTTCCTTAAGTCAGGTATTAAAGCGTCTCTGTGTTTCTGTCTGCAGGCAGAGAGGCGACCCTGAAGGACTCGGACTTTGACGATTTCAAGAAGCAGGCGAGCTGCCTCGGGTTCTCCGGAGAACCACAGTTCATCTACGACTCCAAGAACGGTGCTTTAAAATCACCTGATTAAACGATGAAACAGAGATTTCACAGATAACTGATCTCACTGTTTCTCTCTCTGTCTGCAGGATACTGCGCTGAAGGCGAGGGCGTTAAGATTGAACTGAATAGCGACGGTGATGAATAAGTGAAGATGAGGAAATAAAGAGAAGTGACTCAAAACATCAAACGTGTGGTTTTATTTATTATCTAATGAGAAGGTTTTCAAACTGTGGAGGGAAGGTATTTTAACAGTGTGTCTAAAAGAGACGACAAAACGTCATCACGCCTCCTTTAGCTTAGCGGTGGTGTCGTGAAGTCATGTGACCGTGCTGTAGTTCCTTTATAGCCCAACATTAGCCACCATTAGCTTAGCGGTGGTGACGTGAAGTCATGTGACCGTGCTGTAGTTCCTTTATAGCCCAACATTAGCCACCATTAACTTAGCGGTGGTGACGTGAAGTCATG